TCCTTCGGGGTGCAACCAATTCGGGGTGCGACCAGAGTCACGGAACGAATTAAGTTCGTAAACCGAGGTTCCACTGTATAAGTATTACGTGCCCACATCCGCTTCCCTTTTTCCACATACAATACCTTCCTCCTTTCAGCCAGGTTCAAGATGGTTTTCTTTCCATAAGGGAACCGAATAGGATTTCTTTGCCCATCCCAAATTCCTTACAGTATTTCACTTTCTGTTTCTTTCAGCAAAGAAGGGGCGGCTCCCTTTTCAATTTTTATTTTAAGGGGATGTATTCTCAGGGACCAGAATGCAACTGAGATGTTTTAACTACCAACAGAGGCGAATATGTGTAGCTCAGGGTTGAACTGTGGAATCCTTGGGGTTCTCTGAGCTTGGTTCTTTTCTATATAAACAGAGAGCAAACCCCATCCCATTCTAGCACTGAAGACATTACCTAGCCGGGTAATGAAACGTTTGCAAGAAAAGAACCTAGCTCAGAGAACCCCAAGGACTCCACATGTTTTAACTAAAGGGGATTTAAACATGGCATGTCCTCGAGTAAACATGAACCTCAGAAATGGCAACCACGCATGCTTCAGAGAGGAGGGTTGAATTTACTGAGGGAGAAGACAACCATCACATGTAAAAACATTCATGAAGAACTCAGTGGGAATGTAACAGTAGGTGGGAAAGAGCAATAAAAGGAGAGGTAACATTCATTGGAGAACTATTTAATGGGGGAAATGGTATTCAAAAGAAGCAGTATTGAGGGACAACACAATGAAAATATGAAAACATTCACAAAGCACTCAGTAGGGGAACTAACAGTCAGTGGGAAATAGCAATGAAAGGAAATGCAGCTGTCATTGGGAAATAGCATTTAAAACAATAAGTGGTATTGAGGGGATAAAAGTGAACAGGCCCTGGGGGGTAATAGTGGAACAGCCTGTACAACACAGTTTTAGGAGGGAGAGTCCAATGTGTGCTCTGTATTGCTATGGAGAGGGGAGGAGAGAGAAAGTGTGAGTTCTGGAGAAGCCAGAGACAGGAGAGGTGCAGATGTCTTAATGTGGGGGACTGGGAGTTCAGGAGAAAGAGGGAAAAAGAAATGGGGACTGAAGACCTAGTTATATGTAACAGGTCAAGGGTAGGGGAGAAGACAATCAGAAGTAAAGGCAGATAATAGATTAGAAAGGAGGAAGGAAGAGAAAGGACAGGTGTTCCTTTTATGGTATGAGGATTTTGAGGATTAGTGATGGACATAGCCTCCAGACATTTGCAAGAGGAGGATAAGTACTCATCTTTTAGCCCGAGTCAACTCAATACTCTCCTTGGCTTCCTGAACCCACAGGAGCTGTGAACTTGGATTAATTCAAGGAGTAGGCATTGGTACGCTGCTCCCTTGTCTCATCTGGGTCCAACTGATGAGACAAAACCAGCTATGTCTTCCAGGCTGTGAAGCCCAATTAAGCAGGACCTGCTCTAGGAACTTGGAAGGATTGTACTTCTGAGGTGTACTTCTGAGGCAGCATGCTAGAAGGAAGTTTGGCTTTGGAGGGCCCAGTGACCACCTTGAAGATGAAACTGCTGGGAGATCCAGCAGGCCTCTGCCCACTTTGTGATTGCACTGACCAGTCTCAGGTCCAGTCCGTTAAGGAGCATGGACTTCAGGTTGCTCATAGGGGTTTCCTGGAATAAGCCAAGGTTTGTAAGGAGGAAAAGCTCAAAGTGCATCTTCCCAATCTGGAAGCTTTATTCCTATGTCATCACTACCTTTTTATCTTTCCAGTAATTATTTTGTGTTAAATCTAGATTAGTTTTTCAGTCCTATAGAATGTATTGTGCATATCAATAGAAATAATGGAAATTATATTTTAAATTTAGAGTTAGAGTTTGATGTTTATTGTTACTTTTATCTGTTGCAAGGAAGGTCGGAAGTCAACTCTTTTTTTTTTGTCTCTTTTCCTTTGTCTCTTTTTCTTTTCTTGTTTGCACTTTTGATCTTTACTATTTTCTCTTTTTTCAATTTTGTTTTCTTTTTATTCTTTCTCTTAATATTAGCTTTTGTTAGTTTTTACTGTTCCTTTTTTAAAAAAATTAATAAAGTTATTTTTAAAAAAGAATGCATTGTGCATATCTACTGTATATACTCGCTAATATATTTTTAAGATTTCTGGAGGGTTTGAGCAATTCTTTTTTCTTTTTAGGTGCTGTGCAATGGCCCAGGAACATGTGTGCCCATATGCGTATCTGCCTTTTTACTCAAGATACTGGGACTAAAGAAAATAACAATTGTGTATGTTGAGAGCATCTGCCGTGTTGAAAACCTTTCCTTATCAGGAAAGATTCTTTACCGCTTTTCAGATTACTTCATTGTCCAATGGCCTGCTCTAAAAGAAAAATATCCCAAGTCTCTCTATCTTGGGAGAATAGTGTGACGTGCGAAGAACAAAGACAACTAGTGCCAGTGTGACCTCTAAACATTTTTAGGACTCTGAATTTCTTTCCAATTTCCTGATTCATTCATTCACGAAAATCAGGCTAGACCTGATAATGGTAAATCAAACAGACTGTATACATGTGCCATCCAAGGTCATTGGCTGGTACTGTGGGAATACTGCTACTCTGTTGCTAGTTCCTACTTGAAACCTATCCTAAATCTGTGATGCCATTTTTTTAAAAAACTTTTCCCCCCGGGTCTATTTTCTCCCCCCAAAAATAAATAAATTGAATCGATTAATATGACACCAGTAGAACAGTACTGATGTGTATGAAATGGCATTAAAATATGAAAACAATGCTTGGTATTTGATGTGAACTGAACTAGCATCTCAGAATTGGAAAATTATTACTACCTCCCCATGTCTTACTCTTGACTAAACTTTTTTTTCACATACAACTGCAAGGGTTTGACAACAATAGTTAAAATGGTGGTATACAGTCCCATTGAGCTTTACATGGGAAAAGTCAATTGAGAAAATGCTAGTTGGAGCAAGTAGAAGTTCTCCCTGCCAATTGTCCCTCATTCTGGTGCTGGTTATCTGATGCTGGTTGTGTGAGCTGGTTATCTGGTGCTGGTTGTGTGAGCTCCTGCCAATCTAGTGAGAGTAGATTGGTGGGGAGGGAAGATGAGAGTATAGGGAGGAGTAGGGCCATTTCTCTGGAGGTGCTGAGTGCTAAGCAGAAGCACCCTGGGTTGACAGCCCTGGTGGAGGCTGTAACTGGAGGTGTACGTATGGTGAGGTGGGCTACAGGCTTGGGTATGGACCAATTTGGACAGGGGGAAGAGGGAGGCTTTGGTGGGGTGGGGGCAGGCTGTAACATCCCAGTAGTGATGGGTATGGGGAGATACGGTGGGAGACGAGGGGGCGGACCGCTCACAGGGACCATGCTAGAGGTATATTGTTCCTGTGGCATGTTCCAGCCCCTCAAGCTCATTCCCGGGCCCCAGATAACAGACCTTCAAGGCCTTGGGTTGTTGGCTGCTGCTGCTGAATGCCAGGTCAGTCTGTAATAAGGCCACCCTCATCCATGACTTGATCATGGACGAGAAAGCTGACCTGGCATGTATTACGGAGTCCTGGCTGGGAAAGGAAGGGGGAGTTCTCCTTTCTGAGATACGCCCACCTGGGTTCTGGGTGTGGCACCAGCCAAGATCCCAGGGTAGGGGCAGTGGAGTGGCAGTGATCATCCAAGAGACATGGGAGGCATCCAGGGGCACTGCTCCTCAGATTGCCAGGTGCAAGAACCTATTTGTTAAGTTAGGCTCTAAGAGAGATCAGTTAGGACTGTTGCTATTGTACCAGCCTCCCTGCTGTGGGGCAACCTCCCTGCCTGAGCTTCTTGACTCTGTGGCTGAGTTGGCAGTGGAGTTCCCCAGGCTTATGGTCTTGGGGGACTTCAATTTGCCTTCTCTGGGGGCGGGGTCAGAGGTAGATCAGGAGTTCATGGCCACCATAACAGCCATGGGCCTGTCCCAAGTCATCCAGGGCCCAGCCTGGTTTTTCTATCGAAGCAATGGCAGGGTGTTCTGAAATTGGGGGAGATACTAGTTTCTCCTCTGTCATGGTTAGATCACTTCCTGGTGAGCCTCCAGTTCTCTGGCGCCACCCTCCTCCACAGGGAGGCTGGGTCTATTAGATTGGCCCACCCCAAGCAACTGATGAATGCAATTGGGTTCCAGAGGAAGCTTGGGGTTGTTCTGGAAGATCTACACGGTCCGGCCGAAGCCTTGGTAGCTACCTGGAATGGGAGAGCAGCTGCGGTTCTGGACTGGATTGTGCCTGAGTGGCCACTCCACATCCATGGTTCCCAGCACTCTCCATGCTATATGGAGGAGCTAAGGGAGCTGAAGAGGGCTAAGAGACGCCTAGAGCACCACTGGCAAATGACAAAAAGCAAATACGATTGAACGCAAGCTAGAGCCACGATTAGGGCCTACCTCATGGCAGTAAGGTGGTGAAATGTAATTCTTTCTCCACCCTTATCACATTCCAGATAGCTGCCCAGTGGCCCTGTTTCAGGTGACCCAAACCCTCCTTGTAGGGAGTAATTCTGGGGTCTATCTTCAGGGTTGCTGTGAGGAATATGCTGAGCGTCTGGTGGATAAAGTCAGATTTGCTCTGCGTTGAACTCCAGCCTTGATGCAGGGCCAGTGGAGGTTACAAGGGCTGAGTCTTGCATAGTTATCTGGGAGGAGTTTGAGCCCGTTGAACCTGAGGAAGTGGACAGGGCTCTTGTAACTGTTAGTTCTGCCACTTCTGTGCTAGATCCGTGCCCCTCCTGGCTGGTCAAGGCTGCCCAGGAGAGGATGTGCGATTGGGTCTGGGTGGTGGTTAATTCCTCTTTGAGGGAGAAGGTGGTCCCACCAGCTCTTAAGGAGGTAGTGGTGTGCCCCTTCCTCAGGGGGCCATCACTTGACCCAACTAATCTGGACAGTTTTCATCCAGTCTCCAATCTTCCCTTTTTTGGTTTGAGATGGGCGGCTATACAAATAGAATAAAATAAATACCTTCCAGAATAGGACTGTGTTTTGGATTCAGATCATACAACCTCATTTCAGAGGCCAATGCTATGTTGGGTGTGTGTGTGTGTGTGTGTGTCTTCATTCTTGTTCTAGCGTAACAATGCTTGTTTCTTGTGCACAAGCAATAAAATATCTGCTGAATATTTTAAGCATAAAGGGAACAGTCAGATTAACTTGGCTGCATGACAGTTTTCACTCTGCAGCTTTTCCAGAACCCCAAACTATCCGGTATCCTTTCCTTTTTTCCTTTTGGTCCGTCAGAGTAGCCATGTGATTTAAAGTGCACTTTTTAAAGCCTTGCCTTTAAACAATTGTCTTTAATTGTTAAAAAATAAAAAGCTAGTGGATGTTACAAACAGATGCATCATTTGTTCTCGAAAGAGGCAGATTCTCCAAGCTAAGCATTCATCTTTTTAACAGTGTTAAATTTCAGAGAACATACTTCCATTAGATAAGCTGCAAGAGTCTTTTGGTGTGCTTGGCAGTCCTATGTGTAAATACTTAAATGATGGTTAACAATGCCAAAAAGGGAGTGGGGATGAGAGAGAAATGAAAGAAAAATACCACTTCCTCAGCAAACATGAGTTTTGTATATTTAGGTTTTGTGTATTTAATACTTACAGATACATTGGGTTAGTACTTGAAATCCTTTCCCTTAAATTGGAAGTGGCATTTAATATCAAACACTATTAAAAATAATAGATTTTGGAGGAGACTGAATTTTCTGAAATGTGTTGTAGCTGTTTGAGATTGTCAGGCAAATCCTAGTCCTATAGATTATTCTGTGTATAAAGCACTGTAAACGTATCAGTCATTGGCATACAGCATTACATAAGTGAACAGATTTGGGCTGCAGAAGCACAAACGTTGGAGAAAATAATAGAAAGTAAAAATAAATGCGTTATGTCATCCATCCATGAAGCCAAACAATAGCCTACGGTCTATTTCTACAAGAGTTTGCTACCATTTACATCTGTGATTCTTTTGATAGAGCTAGAAAGACAGTTTCAAAGAGGCTGTAGTGTCTGCAGTTTATGCACGTGATAAAATCAAGATGTGTACTAAAAAAAAATCTTTTCTAGCATGCCAACTTGATGCTGTTGAATGTTAGTGCAAAATTGGCAAGGGAAAGAACATTTTCTGAAGGCATTCCTTAATTTGGTTGCAAAGTAAGTTTAATATCCCTTGAGATCTGGTTCAGTTTTTTTGAGCAGCTCAATTTTCATTTAACAGAGAAACTGGAAATTGGCATAATTATGATGGCATCATAATAACCAAATTTGACTTGGCAAAGGCTTCTGATGACACTGGCTTTTTAATGCAAAAAATAACAGTAATACATTTCCGAATCTTGTAGAGAAGGAGCAAGGCAGTTTGGCTGAACTGCTCAGAAGTCAGCTAGGGGCCAATGGTGTAATTAAATCTCTTTCCAAGTGTCCCTTGTAGAGTATCAAGACTGAAGCAAGCAACTCAGTGTTCTCCAGATGTTGTGGACTTTAGCTCCCATCAGTTCTCCACTAGCATGGTCAGTGGGCTGTTTGATTGGTAGTTCAGTCTGGACTGCACCGTGTTGCATATCCCTAAGCTAAACAGATAAATTATATCCACTAGTGCATAAACTAATCCCATGAGATTAGGCAAAGTGTTTTTTAAACCTCAGCATCTATAGTTTAGAGTTAGCATCCTACTTTGCAGAGTTGTTGTAAAGACTGCTGCAATCATAAATATGAAGTATTTTGAGCACTTTGGAAATACATCATTCAACGATTAAACAATATTCATTATCTACTCATATTCTTTGATTCTGTCCTTTCTCCAAGTGATTCCCATTTCTTCTTCAAGTCATTCCATCAGCTGAGTCCATAATGAATAAAGGTGTCAATCCTAAGAGCATCTATGTGAAGTCATATCCCATTTCAGCTAGTAAGTTTTAGTTTAAAAAGAAGACTTAATGTGTAAATGTGTGCTTTGGGTTAGGGAGCTGTTACCACGGGCCGCTCTTGATAAAAGCTAAGCAGGGTTGGACCTAATTAGTACTTGGATGGGAGGCCACCAGGGAACCCCAGAGTTACACACTATGTGGGAAATCAAATATCCTAGAAGGCAGCCATGACAAAGAGCATCCATATTGTTTCCAAGAAAACAACATACATGTGTCCATGTGGTAACCAGGACTCAAATTAGACTCAAGGGAATTTTTCACCTTTTTAACCAATAAGAGTTCACAGATTTATTTGATGGCATATGTATCCCAGTCCAATGCATACTTCTATGGAAATATGTTTCCTTTGGCTTAAGTAGAATTTATTTTCAAATATGTATACATAGGATTGCATTTTTATTCTAATAACAGATTCTAAAAACTTGGAATTAGCATTGAATTGTAGGGGATCCTATGATGCTTTGGTAATTTTAAGTAAAATATTTGAACATTTATCCCATTTTTCTGTAAAGTTTTTAAGCTAAAGTATATAGGTCTCTTTCATTCTCAATTTATCTTCACAACAATCCTGTGAGGTAGGTAAGGCAAAAGGATGGTAACTAAGTATTATGAATGAGCAGGATTTAAATCTTTCTTAGCCTCAATCTAATCCTCAAAACACAAATGATTAGTAATGAGTTATTTGCAAGGCTGTAAATCTAGGTAAACATCTCTAAAGCTTATCTCTCCGATAAATATTCCTATCCGAGCTAAGTTTTATTCACTGCCAGTTTCTGGTTTTGGTGTGCAGGTTGCTATAACTATACATCAATTAATAGTTTAGCTGGACCAGAACTATTTCTGCAGTGTGCCTCACTAATGAATTCCATGTGAAAGCTATATAAAGTGCTTTCTTGGTAGCAATTCTCTGCAATATCTGTGAGGGGATAAATAACCATGGAAATGACCTGACCCCTAGTTTTGACTCATGTGTTCTAGCTTTTTGCCTAATGACTCAAATGGAGGTTACATTATCAGGATTTTCTGTAGAACTGTATACTGTCTAGTAGATAAGGAAGATGGTGTACTGATTGTTATGACTAAAGCTCTTTCAGTTCCCAGGAACATTCATTAATGAGGCCCATTTACTGTTACTTAATTGGTTCTGCAGTCTAAAAAATTCCTCTCCCATGTTTGCTACATGTGCAAGGATGTCCATACCATGGCCTTTTTCTGCCCAATGCCCTCCAGATCACTTGGACCAATATTTTCATCATCCCAAATCAGCATGGCAATTGGATATAATAAGTATTTTAACCCAGTCCATCTAGAGGGCATTGGGTTAAGGAAGGCTACCATAGTGTATAGATAAGGGTTGGGAAATAAGGTCCTCTGGATGCTGCTGAACTACAGAAAATTCAGCATGACCAGTGCAGAAAGATATTGGGAACTGAAAGTCGACAACATCAGGAAGCCAACAGGTATCCCATGTCTGACATAGAGGACTGAATGATTTTGGCTCAGTTTTTCTTGTTTCAACTAAAGTATCTTAGTCTCAAGACCAAGAGTTCTACCTGACAGACTGGAGAGGTACTGTACATTTAAAGTATTAACACAAGACAGATGGATACTAAGGATATATCTACATGTCCCACTAACATCAGTTTGAAAATTTATAGAATCATAAAATCATAGGGTTGGAAGGAGAGGATATCTTCTAGTCCAACCCCTGCCCAGGACAGGAATCTTCAGGCCATCCCAGAAAAATGGCTGTCCAACCTTTGATTGAAAATCTCCGGTGATAGAGCACCCACAACTCCAGGAGGCAGGGTGTTCCACTGTCTAATACAGGTAATCCTCGGGTTACAACAACAATTGAGACCAGAATTTCCATCGCTAAGTGATGTGGTCATAAAGCGCAATGTCATGTGACTGCATGGCTTAGTGATGGCAATCCCGGTTTCCATCATAACCCCAGGACTGCATGAATCATTAAGGAGGAGCAGGCAGGAGTCCCAGGTAAGGAGTTGGGGGGGGGGGGCATGGATGCGCACGAGGGAATGCGGGTGGGCCAGTGGGGGCCGTGGGTCAGCCAGCAGAGCCCATGGGCAGGCACTAGGGTGAGCTTGCAAGATCCTTGGGATCTTGTACTCCGTAGTGAGGCTCTTAGGGAGAAAAAGCAGTGTGAGTAACTTATGGAAGCAACTTATAACCTTCCTGCTGGCTTCCCCATTGACCTTGCTTGTGGGAAGCCAGTAGGGAAGGTTGCAAGTGGCAATCACATGACTATAGCTCACAACATTGTAATTGCAAGCCAGACCCCCAAGTGCCCAGGCTGCAATCACATTTCCCCAGGGATGCTGCGATGGCTGCAATTTTGCAGACTGGTCGTAAGTCCCCCTTGTTCAGCGCTGTTGTAATTTGGAACAGTTGCTGAACAAGTGGTCATAATTCAACTACCTGTAGTTCTCACTATCAGGAAATATTTCAAGCTTGGATCCCTTTCTGTGAAGCACCTACCCACTGATTCTTGCCCCACCCTTGGGCACTACAGAGAATAAATTGACAACCTCTTCCCTATGACAACCCTTCAAGTACTGGAAGATGGGTATAATGTCTCCCCTTAGCCTTAGGGTTAGGATTAGGCTAAACCTATCCAGTTCTGTTAACTGTTCTTCATAAAATTTTGCCTCCAGGCCCACTACCATCATTGTTGCTCTTCTCTGCATTATTTCCAGTTCCTCAGCATCCTTCTTGTATTGTGGCAACCAAAACTCGACACAGTAATCCAGGTGCAATCTGACCAGAGCAGCATAGAGCAGAATTATTACTTTCTGTGATCTTGACATTACACCTCTGTTAATGCAGCCCAAGTTTGTGTTGGCTCTTTTGGCAGCTGTAAAACATTGCTGACTCATCTGTGCTCTACCAGGATACCCAGATCTTTCTCACAAGTGCTATTGCTGAGCCAGGTATCACAGGTATTGCTGAGCCAGGTATCTTGTACCTATACATCTGATTTTTCCTACCTAAATGCAGAACCCTGCCTTTCCCGCCACTGAATGTATTTTGTCAGGAATGTTCAAGCCCAATGTTTAAGTCTTTCAAGTTCCCTTTGAACCGTGGTCCCATCTTCTGACGTTTTAGCAGTCTCCCCCAGCTTTGTGCACAGCAAATTTGCTGAGCATCCCTTCTATCCACCCCCAGCCAACCATTCTTAAAAAACACATCCCTCCTTTCATTCCTAGCCTATAATTGAGGCCAGCTGACCTTTGTTTTTTTCTGATCCAATGTAGAAGACATTATTTCTATCTCTTCCTGACGCAAAGCTTTCTATATACGTGGTCTGTGTCGCTAGGGCAGCAATTATGGCAGGGCTGAGATCTTCTCGGCTCCTATTTGCTGCTTTTGGTGCAGTTTCCTTTCCAGTTGCTTGCTTACTTATTTCAATTTATATGGCCACCCATCTCAAACTCATGACTCTGGGCAGCTAACAATATTTTAAAACAGCATAAAAACATAAATGCATAAAAACAGGAATATACCATTGAGACACACACACACACACACACACACACATATACATGTATATGTATATATTTAAGACTGATGGGGTGGAACTACCAGTGGACCACATAGCAGACATACAGACCAGCTACAAGTATCCCATAGTCACATGGGAACCATGATGAGGCAAGGAAGACAGCAACATCCAAGTACCACCAAAGGATAAGACATTAACTGAAGAACCACCTCAATGGGAAGAACAAGATCCATGCCAGTATAGTGAGCTGGCCAAAACAGGACATGGAGGCTGCCAATGTGAAGACCCAGAAGCTCCTCACAGTGTACAGAGGTTTCCACCCCAAGTCCAACACCCAGAGACTGTAGACCAGCTGGAAACAGGGCAGGTGGGGTCTGGTGAGTATCAAAGCCACTGTCCTGGATGAAACTCAGAACATCCAGGAATACATCAGTAAGATGGCATCCAAAGATGAGCTGCTGAGAGAATGCCTCAGGCAGCAGTAGACATGGAAGGAAGTTCAAGCAGAGGAAGTACCATGGCAAGACGAGCCCCTACTATCAACAGATAGCTGAGGTGGTTGACATTGGGAAATCCTACCAGTGGCTAGAAAGGGCTAGACTAAAAGACAGCACTGAGACACTGATCACAGCAGCACAAGAACAGGCACTAAGCACCAGATCCACAGAAGCAGAGGTCTACCACACTAGACAGGACCCAAGATGCAGACTGTGCAAAGAGTCCTCAGAGGCAGTCCAATACGTAGTGGCAGGGTGTAAGATGCAGGCAGGAACAGCATACACTGAACGGCACAACCAAGTAGCTGGCATTGTGTAC